TTTTTTTTTTTTGTCTGTTTGTTTGTTTCTTTTAATTTTGTACTGATTTCCGCGTCTCAAGGGACGCATTGCAATGCTCCATGGTCATGGAAACAAGGGGAAGAAAACTAAGAAGACCACAAGCAAAAACAACACGAAAGAAAAAAAAACCTAGAGGAAGGGGCCACTCCGAATGTAAAGCCTAACTCGTCCCCAGTCACCTGTATTTGGATGGCCATGCGTGCCTCGCTCTCTCCTTGACCTCACTTCTCTCGTTGAAGTATAATAATAGACTGAGAGACAACTGGGAACGAGTCAGACGTAAAGCGTAAACCATATTGCAATAGGAAGGCGAAGGACGAAGACAGCAAACCTTGTGTGATAAATTCTAAAATTATTATTTGTTATTTTTTCCGCCAAACTTCACCTTCCTTTTTAAAAGCAGATCTTTTTGTAAAAGACTAGAACACAGAAATGTTAAGTGATGATCACGGCAAAACGAACGCTTGCCCTAGCGAGCGCAGCTGACATTGGTTCGCATTAACACCTGTTTCGTGAGCCCCGCCTTAAGGCAGGGCGATGAAAAATTAGTCTCAGACTCATTCGGTTGTTCTCCTCCACGGAAATCTTTAGTAAAAGGCGAAAGATTTGTTCGTGATGAAGGAAAACCTGAGGTAACGTAAATTGAAAGCCAAGAGTACTATGTTGAACGTGACGCCAAGAGCCTTGTGGGCGGATTATAAATAAATATCATTTACATGAAACGCATGCATAGTGTACAAACTCAGAAACCAGAACCAAGAGCGCTTGTATCAAATGATAGAGAGCTGAATACGTAGATAGATAAATGATAAATAACAGCAAAAATAAAACTTAAGAATAAATGAGTCAAACATACTACTTGCGCGCGCATAAACCGCGCCCAGCTGATTTGTAAAACTCTGATTATGACGTCATACAATCATTTGGAACTTCTCTTCGAAGCGGCCAGACGTGCGCATCGTGTGAAAAGACAAAAAGTTTCTTTGTAATCATGAGAATTATATTTTTGCTTACCGCGTTGGTGGGCTTACTTCTGCTTTCAATTACGCTTAACGCATTGCGTGAAGGTAAGATCTTTAGGCGTCTTAAAAAGAGATTGGGCGGCTTGTTTTTTTCGAGCAATGAAAAATATTTTCCTGGAAGTTTGCAGCATAATTTGTAATAGTAAAATCAATCATTCGTATCATTTTTTTTATCCAACTCTATATAATGTGCATGGAGAATTTTATGGGCCATTTATCTATCGTATAATTAATCTTTTTTTCTTAAAAAGGGGCACTTTACATTTTTTTTAAAATCATGTTTTGCGAAAGTCAAGCTTTATTTCAGTTGCTATGGTACCGAGAATGTTACACGTGCGCATTACTCCTTGCATTAGCTCGCGCTTCGACAGTTGCTCGTGACGTGTTCAATAAATAAGTCCAGAAGAACAACACTTTATGGATCTTTAACATTACTCTGCGCCACAGACAAAACTAAACTCTGGTGTAAAAGCTATGAACATTGTGATCATTTGGGATTAGGGTTTTTATATGATCTTAAATTATTTTTGTTCTTCAAAAATCTTACCGTGAACTATAATCTGTAACCAAGTCAAGTTTACGGCCACTTTCAGGCAAAGGTTTTAAATCGAACTTGATGAAGAAGATCACTTTTGAAAAGTTACAACCTCCTTTTGTTTCTGCAGAACCTGTCATGGCTGAAAAACCAGATTTCTTCTATGAAGAGTTCACAAATGGAGCAACTGTCTTCGGAAACTGGCAAGGAAGGGTAAAGGTTTCTTTAAGGGCTGCGATAAACTAAACCATTAGAGATATTTATTATCACGTTTCAAGCAAATGGCATTTTTAAATAACTTTGAAGTCTTGGATTCTTATCATAACTTATATTTGTTATTTAAAACACTGGGCCTCACATAACCCAAGTAACTGAAGCTCTTAAAATATTGTGGGGACTACAACCCGTAGTTTGGTTTCAAACTATTTACAAGAAGAGATAATTAAAAAAGCATGATATAAAATCGCTTAATTTATATGCATTTACTTATTTAGTTAGACTACTTAGTTTATTTTCTTCTTTTCTTCAAACCTTTATTGGTGTTCTTTGCTGCTCTTACGACAGAATTATATCATCAAGATGCAAATTAAAACCCTGAAACTTGACTCAAAAGTTGTTGTTCGAGAGACTGGCTCTGCACAAGGCGATATCTACAGTACTTTCCATGAGGAACAGGTAACTAAGACCGCCCACACTGTATGTCAGTGCGTCTGAACTTTTAAAAAAGTAACGTCTCTAAATGATCATTCAAACTTCAAAGCTTGCATCTAATCGCTATAAGGCAAACATATTATTTATTTTCATGAATAAAATGTCGTTGAATGATTTCCTGATAGTTTCAAAAGAAGCGCACGCAGAGTAAAACTTTTTGCCATTGAACAATCACAAGATAATCGTCTTAAAGTTCTTGATCAGTTTCACTTTTACTTTTAAAATTCTTGATTTTATTAAGAATCACGACTCGCAAACCTGTTTGAACCCAGAAAGCGTACCTCTTCCAAATCACTACAACAACCAAACTTGTGATCCCAGGCCTCTGAGTCTAACGGAGCAGACATGGAACAAATTACGCAGGAATACAGTGGCGATAACAGCTTGGATATGGAACGGAGTAAACAGGGCATTAAAAACAACTGTTGACTTTGTGGCGACAATGACCTGTAAATTTTGCGGTGGAGTAAAGTTTACGGTAGAGTGGATCTTTGACAAGGTGCCGTGTATGGCTGAGTGGACCTGGCAGCAGATCTTGTGGATGGCGCGGTGGACTTGGGACAAAGCAACCGATTTTGCAGAGTGGACTTGGTGCCAACTCACTGACCTGGCTAACGGAATTTGGGATACGATTACATGGATTATTAATTTCTGTTTCACTTCGATTTGCGCCTTCATTGATACTGTTTCTGAGCTGTACGCTGTATACGTTAAGAGTAAGTGAAGATCCTGTTTGTTTGTAAAGTAAATTATATCAGCACAGCTTGACCATAGTAGCTATAAGGAAACACTTCAGACTCAGGAACTGGAAGGGTATTTTCGGGATCTTGGATACGGTGCAAGATTCGGAAAAACGAAAATATCTTGATGCGAAAAGATATTTTTTAAAAAAGAAGCGAGAATCGGGTTATCAGAATCCCTCCTTTCAGACCCATGACCCTGTAGACTGTCTCTCGTGCGCAGTGAAACGCGAGATAAGACTTTCTTACCAAAACATAGCAGAAACTCAATGAGGTTGTGTGCTCAACTCGCCGTTCCCGTCTAATCCAAGTTATTTGGAAATTTGCTGAGTGTAATGATGTACTGTTTTGTTATCCACAGGTCACGTGAGATACATCAGATCCCTGTTCGGTGATATTACTAGACAGGAAATAATCAGAACACTGATTACAAGTTTTGTGTTGGTTTCTACCTTGCTCTTCATTTATAAGACAATAAGATATGTTATTCGGAGACGAAGGTAAGTGATTCCCGACTTGCACTTTTAATCGAAACAAATGTATGGCAAGAAGACAAATTCACAGAACACTACAAAAGAATTGATCCTCAAGAAGCGCCAACTAGTTTGCTGCTTAGAAAATTTTTAAATTTACACCGTTATACTGTTGTAGCGTTTTCTAATTCACCACACCGATGATCGCCTTTAAACAACGCGAGGTTGTTCTTAGCAAATTCTTGCGGGTAGTTTCCGTACAGTGTCCGTGGTCCTTTCGTGTTTGACCTGAACATCAAATCATCAGTCATGGACAACTATGGACTTTAACAAATGTCATTTGTAAAACGCTTTGTAGAGAAATTCGTTTTTTTTTTCCGTCTCGCTCAATACTTCCAGTGATGTGGAAATTAAATAGCATGAGAAATAGCCGACATTTGGCGACGCTACCACCGGTTTCCCCGCCAAATGACGTCTGTGAAACGAAAGCAGAATTTCCATACTGATGACGCGTCAGTACTGAAATCTGGGTAGTGCTTATGATTGGTTGAATCAAACTTCCTACCCGGCAAGACCAACCAGAAACAGTACCCAGATCTGGGAATTGACGCGTCGTCGGTATGGAATTTCCGCGCTCGTTTCTCAGACGTCATTTGGCGGGGAAACCAGTGGTAGCGTCGTCAAATGTCGACTGTTTTCTCAGGCTAGAAATTAAACAATATGATAAAGTTGCAGTCTTTCATAGCACAATTGAAAGGACCCAGGGATGAGTATGAATTCAGATGACGTCAATGGTTGAGTCAGATTGAGAAAGCAGCCGACATTTCGCGACACCACCGCTGGAAACCCCGTGAAATGACGCCTGATCTAGAAGCTAGCGCAGAAATTATGTTAAGAACTTTAAACATAACTTTAAACAACTTTAAATTGATTTACGGCTGATATTTAGTCAGATCTGGGTGGAGCTTGTAATTAGCTAAAACAGCTTGACCAGTCAGAAAAACTACCTATATCTCCGTAGTGACGCGTGATCAATATGGAATTTTGGGTTTTTCAGACGTGATTTCGGGGGGAAACCTGTGGCGGAGTAGGTAAATGTTGGCTGATCTCTCAAGCTATTGCTTATTTGAATATGCAGGGGGGGGGGGGGGGGGGAAAGGAAGAGCGGGCGACTAATTATTACCAAAAGAAAAAAAAAAAAAAATCTAAGTTAATAATCTAAAAATTTTTTTTTTTTTAAAAAAAAGGCGCGGTTGGAAAAAAAAGCGCCCGAAGGTGTGGTACCAAAGAAGAAAAAGAAAATTGACAAGAAGGGCTGGTAGTCTTCCCGTTTTATTCTCATTCTTGGTTGAAATTTGTGATTTTTGATATCTTGCTCAGTAATAATCGATTTATGTATGTAAGACGTCCTCTAAAATTTGTTGAAAAACAGTACCAATGGATCACTCATTAAAATACAATTTGTGACACTATTGCCTGGTTCCGCTTTTAAGTTGTTGTAGCCTGCGGAGCAGGCGCCGGGTTTTATCAGGGCGAAGGGAGAAATTTCGAGGACGCGCGCACACGAGGAGGGAAAAGGAAAAGAGACAGACAGACTAACCCCCAAAGGTGCTTGTAGCCAATGGAATTCTACGCACTGCCAGAGATCATAGAAAAAGGGAAAACTAGGGCGAAACTAAACCTTTTTTAATGCATGGCCGCCTTGCCACTTTGCAAACCGCGAACTCACCAATTTAAAGTTATGTTTAAAGTTATGTTTTTTGAAGTTCAAATCATGTAATTTGCATTTTAGTTGGAATGGTGATTTGAACTTCAACATCCGCGATATCGAGTTTTTGTACGCCATACAATGTCGCCTGCGCTCCCAAGCGCAACCGTGAGTTTTACCGTGATCATCACTTAACATTTCTGTGTTCAAGTCTTTTACAAACGGATCTGTTTTTAAAAGGGAAGGTGAAGTTTGGCGGAAAAAAAATTTCAAATAATAATTTTAGGACTATCACACAACGTTTGCTGTCTTCTTCCTTCGCCTTCCTATTGCAATATGGTTTACGCTTTACGGCTGACTCGTTCCCAGTTTTCTCTCTGTTTACTATCATATTTCAACGAGAGAAGCGCGGTTAAGGGGAGAGCGAGTCACGCGTGCGATCCAAATACAGATGACTGGGTACGAGTTAGGGTTTACGGTCAAGTGGTCCCCTTCCCAACAGTCTCCTAGGTTTTGTTTTCTTTCGCGTTGTTTTTACTTTTGGTCTTCTTAGTTTTCTTTCCCTTGTTTCCATGACATTGGGGCATTGCAATACGTCCCTTGAACAAAACAAAAGAACCAAATAAACAAAGACAAAAAAAAAGCGGCCATGGCGCCTGAAAGTCATCTCGCAGCAGTTATGTCGCCCGAAATTTATAGTTAAGTCACCCAAATGCTGACAATTGTTAAAAGACTAAATGAAATCGAAATTAGTTTCTATAATGTAGCTCGATTCATTACTGTAACATCAAAAATAAGTTCAGACAGGAGCCCAAGGGCAAGTCATCAAAAAGTCTATTTGCAGACAACTCACTCATAGGACACTTTTCCAAGGCAGAGTGCTGACATTAAAGTGTCCATCATCAGAAAGACTTGACTGTTCAAAAAACATCAAGGGAAATAATTATTTCAAGAGCTCTAGTTCCTTTTTCCTTGGCTAGAAAACTTTGCTTAAAATTTGG